ATCTGCATCTGAACAGGTGATTCTGAGAAATATTAAAACTCGACTCAAATATAAGCCCTGACTTGGTTGCTCAGTTGCTTGGGGTGCTGTCCTCATACACCAAGGTTGCAAGTTTGATCTCTGGAAGCAACCAATGAATGCATAAATAAGTGAAACAACAAATCCATGTTTCTCTTTCTCTCTCTCTCACTTCCTCTCTCTAAAATTTTAAAAATACTTTTAAAATACTACTCTAAATAGCACTCATGGAGGGAAGCTCCTGCAGAATGATTTTGTCTGGAGTTTTTTTTTTCTGGAAATTCAGAGCTCCAGGTACCTGCACCCCAAGAACAGAAGGGGAAGCCCTAATGCCCCAATTGCCAGATCTTTCAACGTGTTGCAGTTGCTTTCTGCTTTGTGTGGTTAAATGGAGTCTCAGCAGTAGCAGAGGAGAGGAAGGAAACCCAAAAGACCTGATGCCCTTTGTGGGTGGAGTCAGGGCAGCAGGGAATTCTGGAAGAACCTCTGAGCTTCAGAGACACTGAGGTCAGAATCAGAGCAGGAAGAAAACAGGAGGGGAGACTAGGCAAACAGAGCTCAAATTCTGTGCTTCTGCTTTCATTTATTGATCTCTGGGTCTCCCTGGTTATTTTTCACCTCTTTAAAAAAGTTCCCTTGCATTTCTACTTTCTCTTTCTTTTTCTCTCTGCAACATGATGATAGGAATAATGATGACACCTTATCTCGACATGATGTAACAGATAAAGGATTTTATAGGAGGCAGTTTTATGCCCATTTGGCAAATGAGGAATATTCCACATTTTCTTTTATTGGCTTATCATTAAAAGTAGTTCTTGTTTCCCATTGATTTTGGCAAACTTTGGAGGGTTTTTTTTGTTGTTGTTTTTTGGTTTTTTTAATGTACAAAGTCATCTGCAGAGTTATTGCCACAGTGAGGGCGAGGAGGAGGCTTTATAGCCCAGGCATGGAGGTAAAAGGCTGCATGGGGAGAATTCAAGAACCTAGAAACGAAGTGTAAGCACTCCATGCTTTGGCACTGTGGTGAGTGGGGAAACACAAAACGCTTCCTGGGCCCCATCTGGACCATGCACTTCACTCCTCTGCTTTGAAAATGCATACAGTAGTCCCCTCTACCCACAGGGTGCAGCAAAGCCCTCCAGGGAATGTCTGAAACGGGGAACAGTACTGCACCTTAAGTATACTGGGTGTTTGTTTGTTTTTTCCTATCCTTGCATATCTGTGATAAAGTTTAACTTATAAATTAGACATTATAAGAGATTAACAATAACGATAAAATAGAATGACTGTAACACTATACTGTAATCAAAATAATGTGACTGTGGTCTCTCAAGATATCTTACTGTACTGTGCTCACCTTTTCACTTAAAGGAAGCGCTTCATGGCTTCTCTTTGGCATATCCAGACTGCCAGACTCACTACTCTTGCCATTGTGGGACCATTCTTAAGTAAAATACAGGTTACTTGAACACACGCACAGCGATACTGTGACAATCAGCCTGAAACCAAGATGGCTCCTCAGTGACTGGAGGGCAGGTAGAGTACACAGCGTGAGAACGCTGGACAAAGGGCTGATTCACCACCTGGGCGGGCAGGAGCGGGAAGGCCTGAGATTTCATCACGCTGCTCAGAGCTTAAAACGTATTCGTTTATTATTTTTGCCATTTTTCATTTAACATTTTCAGACCGAAGTTGACTACAGGTAACTGAAGCTTCATAAAATGGATGAAGAAAACCGGTAAGGAAGGCATGAAATGTGCCTTCTGGGTCCTTGGCAAACTTCGGTTTTTAGATTCTTAGTCTGAACAGTTTGTCTCACTTCCATTTTTATTTATTTCAAAAACTAAAGTGGCCATAAATCGTGTAGTCCTCTCCCCTCCTCTTCGGAGTGGGATTGCTGCAAGAACTGTAACAAAGGCCTGAGAGGTAAAAATCCACGGCTTTTTTTTTTTTTATTCCTCAGGATGTGAAATCGCCTGGGTTCTCTGACACCGGGTACATATTTTACTCACTTTGCTTGTGGGTCTCCACCAGCAGACTCTATAAAAAGAAACAGACAGAGTGGCCTTTTGGGAACAGGTTGAACTGCACCATCCAAGAATGAACAAAGATGTGCTTTAGATTCCTTAGTTACTGAAATTGAATAACTTATTTTCTTGAAATCAGATGAGAACAGAGCAAATTCCTATAGTTTTTACAACATTGAATAAATGCTTAGCATTGTGTTCCCATTTTTTTTCACTTTGGGCATATTTCATTTCTTTGATATCATAAAATCTAAGGACATGAGCATTTGGATCTAGGGTGTGAATATTTTTTTGAATGAAAGGATACATTGTTCTTTCTGTTCTCAAAGTCATACTTTATCAGAAGTGATACTCTGCTCAGGAATGACTCTTAAGTCACTTAGTCAAGTCAGTTTTCCCCTGCAGGGTCAGCCTGGCCACAGGAGAAGGCAGGAAGAAGAGATGCTCAGCAGGCCTGGTTGCTGACAGCAAAGAAGGGTTCTGAGGGTAGGTCAGAAGAGAGGTGGTGGGAACAGGCTTTTAGGAGTGAACATGACTCTCCCAGGGAATAGATCAGTGACTGGGAATCTTGGAAGGGACACGCGATGAAAGTGGAATACAGTCAAGTGGCCAGACCTGGGGATTGGGTTCCCGAACCAAGAAAGCAAAGAGCAGATAGACAGGAATGAATGTCTCCACCCAGGGTAAGCAAGGCCTGTGTAGCTTGTTTAGGTTTCAACCCAGGTGGAGTTGAACAAGATTGTTCACTTATGTCTGTTCCTTTTAAAGCTGCATGCACGCTATTGCCAATATTCTCACACCCACATTCTAGGGGAGCCATTATAACTGTCAATAAGTGAAGAGCGCGGCTGACATGGCTCAGTGTTTGAGCTTCTCAACCTATGAACCAGGAGGTCAAGGCACATGCCTGGGTTGCAGGTTGAATCCCCAGTCGGGGGCATGCAGGAGACAGCCAATCAGTGATTCTCTGTCATCATTGATGCTTCTATCTCTCCATCTCTGATCCTCTCTCAAATCAATAAAAAAAAAAAATTTTTTTTAAAGAATAAGTGAAGAAGACTCAATCCTCAATGACCCCTGAACCAGTGAACTACTTATACAAGTTGTGATGTTGACAAGAAGGAACTCTTCCCTTATTCTTGGCCAAAAGCTACTTCCACAGTGTGGCTTATGAGTTGAATTTTTAAGCATATTTCTTAATAATAATGTTTTCTTGAAGTCACGAGAGATTGGCATAAGGAAATAAACTGCCAAGGAAAGTTGAAAATAAAGAGTATTGTTCCATTCATTGAGTCACAGTTAGAGGTAATGCCTTTGGCCTTGCCACACCTGTGGATTTCCATTCTGCAGACACAGTAAGCGAGCAGGAAAAACCCACAGCTGGGAATTAGCCACTGAAGATAATCAGCAGCTAAGCTGACTTCTGAGCTGCAGAGTGAGCAACTTTGGCAGCAAGCGATGACCAGTGACATTCCATTCCCCTCCACACCCAGGGGAGCACCAGTACCAAAGAGCCTCTGCAAGAGGGAACAAGAAGAAAAGACACCTTCTGGAAGGGATACCATCAAATAAGAAGCAGGGGGAGTATTGTCACACTACAACTCATGGCTCCTTCGTAACCTGGCTTTTATTTACTTCTCCTGACTCAATTTATTCTGTCAACACATATTCACTGTGAGTTTACTGAGCTAGGTGCTGAGGAGGTAGTGATCAAAACAGAGTCTCCCCTCTCACATGCCCTTCAGCAGGAAGCAGACAACCAACCGCACAGTATACATGTGACATCATGACCATAAACATGCTTCAAAGGAGAGGGGTCTGATGCTATGAAAAAGGGGGTTTGAAAGTTAGGGAGCTCTGGGCCAGAACTGGAATTGGAAGCAAAACAGGTGAGAAGCAGTGCATTACAGTTCTTCACATTTCATTTCTAGTTTCTTGAGAACATGAGTGAACCATGATTGATATAGTAAAAAAAAAAAAAAAAAAAAAAAAGGAATTTAAAGTCAGTTGGTCTCGTTCTTGCACTATGACAACACGTTTACAACCTTGCACAAGTTACTTAGTTTTCTGAGCCTGAGTTTTGCCATAATGTTGGAGCAATAAGACCCATCGCACAATAAATACTAGTTTTTACCCCATTGGCTAATTTTCATAATCCCCATGAGACTCGGTGCCTTCGTTGAAAAAGTAAAAACTTTACCTGCATCAGGGAATTTATACTGAAGTGTGTTCATTTGCAAACTCTAAAGCATTCTGTAATGATCAGGCATTACTGATCACTCATAAAATAGTTGAGAGGCCTACTTCAATCCAGAACCTATAATAGGTACTGGAGAAATGGAGGGCTGACGGAGACAGAGTCTTGCCTTCAAGGAGAGAGTTGCTGAAGGAGAAATTCATTCTTTCCTCAGCTTCTGAGGGAAGAAGGCAGCCAGGGCAGAGGGACATGCCTCTGCGGTCTGCTCAGGCATCCAAGTTCCCGGCACTTGGCGCTCCCTGGGGGGATACCTGATACCCTCCCCCAGCCATTAGCTGAGAGCTTGCCCAGACTATCTGACCCAAGGCCCTGGGCACAGGGCTGCAGGATGGATTTCTAAATCTTCAAAATAACCAGACAAAGGAATCTTAACAACAAACAAAATATGACTGGAGTGCAGTGGGGAAGTAGTTGCGAGGATGGATGGAGAAGGCTGTCAAGGATAAGGAGAGGAAAATCATTATAGATGTTGTGTTTCTAGAGAAAGTGGATTGAACAATCCAGAGTTTCTCATTTCCAGCCCAGCCACTCAGGCCTCTCTCTTTCGAGCTCCTTTTGTCTTATTTTCCCCTTCCTTCAGAGAAATATAAAATGAATCTGAGGTGGAAGATTTATTGCCCAACTATGATTCAGGAGAAAGCTCAGCCACAGAACAGGCACGTGCGGCATTGCCTAGAGAAAAAGGACTTGCAGAGGCAGGTCTCAGATAGGTCCACCCCTTGATTTGGCAAAGAAGGCACCTCCTCCACTACACGTTCTAGGACCTTCAAGTTCAGAAGGAAACTATTTTGCCCTGTCACCTGGCACCATGCATCTAGCAGGACCAGTGTGAGTGAACCAGTCGGAGGCTTCTCTACAACATGACCCACAGGGACAAAGCAGGTACTGTTGGCTCCCTGAAGATTGCAACTCTCCTGGTGGCTCTAAGTCCAGAACTCCTACTCCTGGGAGCTGGAGTGCAGCTTCGAGACAACGGGTATGACGGGTTACTCATTGCAATCAACCCTCAGGTGTCTGAGAATCAGAACCTCATCCCAAATATCAAGGTGAGTGGCAAATATTATGTCAAATTCATTATCCCATTAGGACATTATGTCAAATTCATTATCCCATAGCCTTCTGTAAGGAGCTAACAAACCTGTTTGATTTGTAATTTGAGCCGCAAAGAGAGCAGTGTTTCTGAAAGATTGCACCAAGCTTTAGTTATAATTATGGGCATGCCAGTGTGTTCACCTAATTCTGTGGAGTCTCAGTTCACCCACTGTTGATCTAGTCCTCTTTTTTGTTGTTGTTGTTGATTACTACTAATTTTAGCGTTTTTGTGTTCCTGCATGACTGTTTTGGGGTAGCAACTTAAGAAATAAGTACTGTGGCAACAAAGACCAGATGTTTGACTGATAAATAAGCATGGTTTCATGCTTATTAAAATCATGTGGTTGGATTCCCTCCTGAGGGTGAGAATCCTCAGACAGAAAGAGTGGTAGTCTGGATGGAGTGCCGAAGAGCAAAAAAATATTTCTTTTTACCCGAATGCTCTCTAATTGACTATTTTCGTCTTACAATCAGGAAGGATCACAACTCTATTACTCATGAGCCTCCTTTCATTGATGCTTTAGTGAAATTAGTAACATTTATAAGGTGTGGTCTTGAACATGCCCACAGGTGTAACATGAAAAGGATTTGTTTGGTAAAACCTTAAAAGCCTTTCACAAAGTTGGAAAATTACATAGGCAAGCCCAGACACCTAATTACTCTCCTAAAAATCTCTTTCAGACAACCATCTAACTTTAGTTTGTCCCTAAGTTGGCACAGCCTAATGCTGTCTCTAATAGAAATGGGCTCCTTCAAAATATTTCCATTATTTGTGACCAGCAAACTCAAACATAAAGAACTTATAATGATAAAGGATAAAACAAGCTTTCCTTTTATTTGGTTATAGGAAATGGTAACTGAAGCTTCTTTTTACCTGTTCAATGCTACCAAGAAAAGAGTATTTTTCAGAAGTGTAAAGATTTTAATTCCTGCCACATGGAAAGCTAATAATTATAGCAAAGTTAAACAAGAATCATATGAAAAGGTAAGAATTCAGTTTCATTAAATGAGCTTCAATCAAGGGTGGAAGGGTGAAACAATCGAAATATACTGTGTTCAAACTTTAAAAGTGAGAACTTAAGCAAAAACAAATCATTGATATTAATATGCAAATGACATTTTGGGAAGATTGTTAACCACAAAATATATAGATATTTAATAAAGGAGTACAAATTTTGTGCTAAAAGGTGAGCAAAATGCCATTGCTCAAGTAGCCTCTCAGATTTCCTTACTTTGTAACCTACAGAATATTTCCTGAAATTTCTGGTTAAGGACCAAAACCTAGCTTTATCTACTGAGTCTGAGCTGTAAAGGGAACAATTCCAATTATGGCTATCTTTATAATATGTCAGGGCAGTAAACATGCATGTCCATAGAGAAACATTGGCCACCCATGCACATGAAAATATGACCGTCTTCTGCCAAAGTGTAAGTTAGGAAAATTTCACTTTACCTCATATCTAGGACAGCTTTCAAGTAGTATGTTGATAAGAAGGAAGGCAGAAAGTGGGGAGAAGGGGTGTGTGGCTATTTCCTCTTTTCCAACCAAAAAAAAAAGAATTTAATCTTCAAAGGACTCTGATAATTTATAAATTATAGTTAAAAATCTATAATGATGCCTGGCTCATACTGGTGTGCATGCTATAAATAAATGGTAAGTAAATCTGGTAAATCACTGAAGTTATTGTGAACAAGAGCCATGGCACTGCCAGTAGGCACAGAAGCAGAGGTATTGAAAATGTAGCTCAGGGCTCCAGCAATGGAGTGGGTTGGAGATCTGTAACTACAGCTCAAACAGGACTGGGACATATGCCATCATTTCCCCTCTGCTCATTTGTGTCATTGCTATGAAGCCTGTTTTAATTCTTAGCCCTTTTTTGAAGTTACTCTCTCCATAATGGAATGGTATACAATCTAGATAGGCACCTCAGCGTCCTGAAGAGGTTACAGAGGCTCTCATAAGCATTTGATTTATGACCAGAGGAAAGCATTTTGCAATTCTTGAGCATGGAGGTATGAGAGATGGAGGACCTGGGATAAACTGGAAAGAGAGCTGCTGTTTTTTTAAGATGCAACTAAGTGCCAGGAATTCTACACAAATATATTGTTTAATTCCCCCACACCCTAAAATTGGTTGCTGTTATCACAAATTGGGAAACCCAGGCTCAAATAAATTAAGGATTTTGTTCCAAGTCAAACAGCTAGCAAATTTCAGAGCCACAATTTGATTCCCAAACCCATGTTCTTTGCACTAAGCTATGTTGCCTCTAGCTTCCTATACAGATTGCATTAACCAGTTTTGCCATCTGTGGAACAAAGAAGTATTGGAGATAATCAACCCCAAACCAGGTAGTATTCCTGATCCCAATGAAGAAATAAACAACTAAAGAAAAAATGAGAATATGACTGAACAGAAAGATTAAAGAAAATAATAGTCGTTGAAAGCTGTTCCTATATCTGTTGGATACCAATTTCTTTAACCTCATAATATCAATTAAGGCAACACTTAGTGGATAATAATTATGCACAGTATACGTTCTAAGCACTATGGAGGACTCAAGGACAAGCAAGGTGATTCCTATGAATCTAGTTTCATGTAGGTAGAAAAGAGGGGAGGAGAGAAAGGGTTAGGAATAGTAGGCCTGCGCTGGGTTACTATGGTCTACAAGGTAAAAGGTTAATCCTGAACAGCCTGAGTATTCTATCCTATGCAAAGCACTTTTTCTTTTGCTTCAGGACAAATTTCAGGAAATAGGAATGAGATTTTGTCCAAATGACAAGGGCATGACAACTGTTGCTTTTTTGTGGGTGTTGCCTTGTATCCCCATGACATGTTTTATATCTGAAAGTTTATACCTTGATCCCCTTTATCCATTTCCACATCCCAACACCCCTGTCCTCTGACAACCAATGATCTGTTTGCTATAAGTCTGGTTTTTTAGATTCCACATAAAAGTGAAATCATGCAGTAGTTGTCTTTCTTTTTGACTTCTTTCACTTAGCATAATGCCTTCCAGGTCTATCCATGTTGTTGCAATGACAAGATTACATACTTTGTTATTTCATTGTGTGGGTATATGTGTGTGTATGTATGTGTGTGTGTGTATGTATTATATATGTTATATATTATATACTATATATGTACTAGAGGCCCAGTACATGAAAATTCATACACTGGAGGGGAGGTCCCTCAGCCTGGCCTGCCCTCTCACAGTCCAGGAGCCCTCAGGGGCAGGAGGTGACATGACGATCAGGGGAAGGCGATGCCACATCACACCTCTGCTGCTGTAATAACATCTATAATAACAAAAGTCTAATGCATGTCCTTCCTTCCAGACAAAGCCACAGTGGCGGGGGGTCAAGGCAGAGCAGCCCTGCGTTAGCAGGGGCCAAGGCCCTTGCATGACTTTCATGCATCAGGCCTCTAGTATATATATAATATATCTTCTTTATCCATTCATCCTTTGATTGACACTCGGTTTTTTTTCCCCATGTGTTGGCTATACTAGTATCTAACAAAGATGTAATATGCTAATTGACCATCAAGCCATCACAAAGATGGTGGCGCCCACAGCTAAAAGGGAGGGAATATGCTAATTGACTGCCCTGCCCTCAAAGATGGTGGTGCCCACAGCCACAAGATGGCAGCACTCATTCCTCTCAGCTCCTCCGAGGTGCCAGGCATGTGGCAAGGCTGGGCCCACCCCTGGGCAAGCCTGGTCATTCCACATTCCTACCTCTGGATTTCCTCATTCCTCCCTTAGCCCCCAGCCTCCCAGGCTGGTCCAAGGTTCAGGCAAGCCTTGGATGGTGGCTGCCTGGCTGCCAGGACCGCTGAGGCACAGGTAACCAGGGCTGGAAGAGGTTTGCACTGCTGGCAATGGTGGCAGCAGAGGTGTGATATGGCGTCGCCTTCTCCTGATCACTGGGTTGCCTCCTGCCCCTGAGGGCTCCCGGACTGTGAGGGGGGCAGGCTGGGCTGAGGGGCACCCCCTCCAGTGCATGAATTTTAATGCACCAGGCCTCTAATTGTAAATAATGCAGAAATGAACTTAATGTGCATCTATTATTTTTTTAATTAGTGTTTTCATTTTCTTCAGATAAATATCTAGAATTGGAATTGTTTGATCATATTCCAGTTTTAGTTCCCATTTTATGAGGAAAGTTCATACTGTTTTCCATAGTGATTGCACCAATTTATATTCTTACCAAAAGTGCATAAAAGATCCAGGTTTTTAGATCCTCATCAATGGTTATTTCTTGTCTTATTTTATAACTAAAAGCCTGATTTATAAAAACTCATGCACTCAGGAAGAGATCCCTTAGGAGTGGGCCTAAGCTGCAGTCTGACCTTACTCTGTGGGAGGCAACCCATGGGCCATTAGGGGGACAGGGACAGCTGGCAAGTGGCCAGACCTATCCCCTGATCACCCCTCTGCCATCACTAGTTGCTGCTGCCCACCTCCCCTAACCCCAATTGACATCCCCTCCTTCTGCCCGCTGGCACCTGCCTTGGCTGGCCTGGACCAACCCACTTGCTGGCCCTACCCCTTGCCAATTGATCATTCTGCTGTTGGGTCAATTTGCATATTAGGCTTTTATTATATAGGTTAAACATTCTGACAGGTATGAGGTGATATCTCATTGTGGTTTTGAATTGCATTTTTCTGATGATTAATGGTGCTGAGCATTTTTTCATGTGTCTATTGGCCATCAATATGTCTATGGGAAAATGTTTATTTAGACCCTCTGCACATTTTTTAATCATATTTTTTTTTGTTATGGAGTTGTAAGAGTTATTTATATATTTTTATGTTAACTGCTTATTGGATATATGGTTTGCAAATATTTCCTCCCATTGACTTTTGTTTAACTGACAGTTCCTTTCCTTCACTGTGCAGAAACCTTTCAGTTTGATATAATTTCATTTGTTTATTTTTGCCCTTGTCTTTAGAGTGAGATGGCCCCTCCAAAAAAAAAAAAAAAAAAAAAAAAAAAAAAAAAAAAAAAAAAAAAACCACCCAAAATTACTATGTATTATATTCAAGTCATTAATCAATGTTGAGTTAATTTTTTTTATGTGGTGTAGGATAATAATCCAGTTTCATTCTTTTGCAGGTAGCTGTCCAATTTTCCAACACCATTATTGAGAAATTGTCCTTTCCATTGTATATTTTTGCCTCCATTATCATAAATTAACTGACTATATATGCATGAATTAATTTATGAGCTCTCTATTCTGTTCCATGGATCTATGTGTCGATTTTTATACTGATACTGTTTTGGTTATTACTATAGCTTTGTAGCATAGTTAGAAATCAGGATGCATTATGTTGAGGTACATTTCCTCTATTCCAACTTCATTGAGAGCTGCTATAGAGGAAATGTATTTATGTTTATCACAAATCAACATTGAATGTTGTTAAACATTTTCTTTGCATTTATTGATCATATTATGATCATACAATTTTAATCTTTCATTTTGTTTTATTTTGGTGTCTTAAATTAATTTGTGGATGTTGAGAAATCCTTGTATCCCTGGAATAAATCCCACTTGATCATGGTGTGTAGTCCTTTTAATATATTGTTGAATTTGGCTTGCTGATATTTTGTTGAGGATTTTTGCAACTATGTTTATTAGTTATATTTTATTTTTTGTAGAGTCCTTGTCTACTTCTGTTATCAGAGTAGTGCTGGCTTTGTAAAGTGTTTCCCCCATCTCAAATTTTTTGGTAGTGTTTGAGAAAAATATTTATTAAATCTTCTTTGAATGTTTGGTTGAATTGATCCATTAAGCCATCTGGCCCTGGATTTTTCTTTGTTGGAAAGGTTTTGCCTACTTATTCAATCGTCTTACTAGTAATTTGTCCATTCAGATTTTCTATTTCTTCATGGTTCAATCTTTAGGGATTATATGTTTCTAAGAATTTATCCATTTCTTCTAGGTGGTCTAATTTGTTGGAGTATAATTGTTCATAGTAGTCT